AGGAATGACGAAAATACCTTGAATGAATTGTCACCCTTTTCTTTGTAAAAATGGAAGTTCACTCCATCATTACTATATTGAAACCTGTACTTGGTAACCCACTGCTGGATTCGGGGCGCATTCCTCCCCTGAGTTGCGACACCAGTCACAATGGTTAAGCTGAGAAGATCCACGTGAAGCCACTGTTTCAGATCTAGTACACGTGTTGACCAGGCTCCTCTCTTTACTCCGGTCAATTTTAAATTCAGCCTGGCCCTTGATGGGGCATGATTGTCATCCCACTGTGTAGAGGCGGTTATTTGTGCATCCTTGATTGCTCCACTTTCCATTCCAAGAGGTGTACTGCACACTGAAATCAGCGAACGTAAATTTATTGAGCAAGATTGCATTCATCTCGTCAGAAACTTGGAAAAAAAAAGGAAAGATCTGGGTCCTATTGGAAGAATCGAGTCCCAGGACCTCGCCTATCTCGCTCCAGGGAACTGTGTGGTGAGCTACGCCTTTCACTGATATGACAGTCCCGCACGCTGTTAGGATCAGCAATGTCGGAAGTGTCTTGTGAACGAGTGATTGATTAAGCGAGTGAATTTTCCTTCCATATRATAAAACCTTTTAGCATGACTTACGTCATACCACGTGGTAAAAAGTATGTAAAAAACAGCCCTTTTTCAATTTTTTATCGGCATTATAAGTTACAATTTTAACATTACCTGTACAACCGTAGATCTCTATTCTCATCGCTATTTTTGTATGCCACGCTATGGGTAAGATCCTTATGTATCGTGCTGTGATTGGAGGGTTAAGGATGTTGTAAACAGCAGATTCACTGTCGCCGTTTCCGGTGAATATCTAACCGAGAAAAACACAAAAAGCATTACGGAAAAATGATGCATAAAGCTCGCCGAAAATCAACAATGAAAGAAAATAGCTATACGTTTGCCTTTTATGATATACTTAAATGATACACTCTAGTGGAGGCTAGAACCGCATAGGAAAATATTCGAGTTTAAGAGAAGTTCTCAACTGGATCGTTGCCCTTGAGATCATTTGCTCTCAGCGGGTAAGAAAGCTACTTTTCTTAACTTGATTCAAATTTGATGCAATTTTAGCGAGAAAATCAAAGCCGCTTGGGTTGATCTATTTATTTTTTTCTTAGGACTGCTTTGAGCCTGATTGCATATGCAAATAAACATTAATTAATAGAGCTATAAAATTTCTAATTTAAATTTATGTCTGAAGTTTTTAAACGATACCAATAATTCTTGAGGCAGGTCTGCTTGCGCATTGAATTAGTTGGCATTGCATACCTTTGGGTTGCCT